TTTATCTATTTGCAGAGCGGATGCGTCAAGATGAAAGCGATCAACATTTATATTATTTCGAAATGAAGTAATTTTACTTGCATATTACCTTTCACCGGAAAATTTTCTTCATTTCTATGCGCTCATACATAAAACTAAAAATATCCAATATTTATATATGCCCAGGACGTTTCACCGTTAAACTTCTGCGTTCTAAATCCAAAGCAATCCGAAGCTGCGGTTTGCGTTGGAAAATGTGCTTCCTGTGAGAAAAACTTGGAGCACTCTAATGCCGACAGTGAATTTCCCGCTCTTCGTCATCGGCTCGTTTGGCGTTGTTGGTGAAGTTCTTCGTTGATGTTGAGATTCTCGGCTGGTTTCTCGGCACGTCGAGTGCTGTGGTCTCGGCGAGATGCGCTCGCTTCGTGCTCAAGGTGTGGGTCATTTGTTACATGTGGTCAAGTTCCCAAACTACGTGCGAGGCAAGTTAAACGTTATAATTTTTCTTTTCGCGTTGCTTCCGCTCAGTGCACCACCTGCCCGGTGCCTTCACCATATCTTCTCTTGATACTTGATGTTGGGATCTAATGATTTAAGCCAAAGGTTTAATTATCTAAATAGACCAAAAATATAAAAATAACTATTTTTGGTAATTCAGTACTAATATTACAACGACAGTGATAATACAAAATTTTAGTATTATTACGAAATGGGAGAGTAGATACGAACGCAAACGCACAGTATCTATCGACCGTGCAAACGTCTATAATAATTCAAGTAAATTTGACATCGCGACAATAGCATTACTATTCCACAATGAAGGTCATATCTGCATCGTGACGTTGCAAATCCCGGAATGGCATATATTGCAATTAATCGACGAAAAGGTATTTTAGGACAAAGGGTAAATTCCACAATGCATCGTTTGCGCGCGCGCTCCAACAATTCCTCACCCAAGTATTAATATATCATACAAACTCATACAACCAAATATAGCTAAGAATAGGCTTTGCAATTAGAATACGCTACTGAAATAAATATTGAATTAATGAACTGAATATTTAAATTCTTCTGTTGTTATGATTTTCATCATTTATAATTTAAATGAGATTTAAACAGGATTTAAAATTTAACAATGCTTTGTTAGAGAAGAATGTGTAACGTTGCTGTCAATTAAAGCGACAGGAGGTTGCCGGTGAACGCTGGCGAGCAAGTTCCCGCGGGTAACATTATTTTGTGAGAAGAACATAGATACTTCACGGATTCATCTTGCTTCGCTGCACCCTCGACCTCTTTTGTCTATCCGTTGAGAGATCCCGGGTCCTTTACAGATATACATCTTTGTCCTTTCGAGAATATGAGCAAATAAAGCAATGGTCGACTAATCGATGAGTTCTGAGTGTGATTTTATGTGAAGGCATAAATGGTGTTATAATGTTCATTCCGACTTGGTATTGATTTTATGACTTGGCAAATTTGTGTTGTGTATAACTAGGTACAACGATATGCGGAGGTTTATATTTGTTTTGTGCTTTTTGAGCATTTCTCTAGAGTGCCATTTTGAAGAAAGCTAATTAGCTGAATCGACTCATAAAATGTCAAGTGCAACAACAGATCATGAATTTAATTTTCGCTCTGGTAGCGGAAATAACACGTATATCGGGTGGAACGTGCTAGATAAAGCGTGGCGGACTGAAATTTTCGAAACGAAATTATCGACGGTCGTTATCATTCTTTTTCATCCTGATCGTATCAGGCGCGAAAATCGTATCAGAAATTGGTTCTGATGGAATGGCAGATGGGATATTTGGACACGAGCTGATTGATATTTGCAAGCACACACATACGAAATAAATTGTACCGACATTAAACATACAAAGTGTTTGGATAATTTTTTATTCTGACATTTTACTAAGTTATCTAAAAAAATGTAAAATTTTAAAATTAAGTCACTTTTTGATGTTTAATTTTGCAGTTGATTGATGTAGATTTTAGATTGAATGAAAACAGATTGTATACTTGCACTATTCGTGTAGTAGAGACATGACCAGAAAAAAAGAGTTGGAGATAAAGTAGAAAAAGTGACGCAGGATGGGTCCGCTATCCGATTCGTTACGTTTCTCGACAGGACGATAAAATCGAAACTCGGTTTTCAATTCGCCGACGGGCCCGAGTTTTTGAGAGATCGCCCTTCCGCGGCGCGGTCTCCGGGCGTAATTCAACATCATTTCGCTCATTTTTAATGCAGAGCGAACGCCGCGAGTAGACCCGAAAATTTCAAGAAACGTTGCCGACCTTAATAGACATCCGAATGGGTTTTGCTTTTTTACAATGCGACCGAACGCGTTGAAGCGCCGCCGCCGTCACTACCACAACCGCAAAACCCACAGCCGCCACCGTATGGGCGGCTCGCAAAAGCCCCACGGCGATCAAACACGCCGAGAATAAAAAAATATACACAAGTCTTGAACTCACGAACTCGAATCAATGTGATGTCACAATACAGTCGGTCGAAGTCGGCAGACACCAATCCAAATAAGAACTCAATTTTTACGTCGCTTTGACTTCTCGAGACAAGCAAAATCAAACAACGAACATGGTGAATAAAGAATAAAAGCTGAAACAATATTATTCCTTGGTATATACGTGATAGTATCAATCGTGTGAAAGCTTTTTAAATAATAATGTTTTGTTTTTTCGACTTGACGGTTACGATGAAAAAAGCGTGAGTTGTTACATTGTTAGTGAGTAACGTACTTCTGCGTCTGATTGCGATATAACACAAGTCCTGTAACACTCGTTAAAAACAACCCGACATCTCATTATTCGTTTTTTTTTCTTCCATTCCGTCAGCGCTCGCTGGCGGTGCGGTTGAAGAAGGCGGTGGTGCAGTTTTTACTTGTTTAAATCAGCGCACCCGTTGGGTTGCGCAACGAAATGAGTAAGCTCTACTCCTATACGTCTAAGGATAACACTATACGTTTGCATTTCAATTGCATTCGTCGCGTTCATTCGCCGTAATGTAACACGTACAAGACTTGCATCAACGAGTTTTCTTCTCTTGCCGAAGACAGTCAGTGTTAGATATAGTGTTATGTGTACGTCGGTGACTTCTTCCATCACTCCGACGAGTCTGCAGTGATAGCCGTCGTGTAAAGTTGCATTTTCCTCCCAGCTCATGCATGCACGGCATGCATTGTGCTTTGCGGACGCGCGCTCTGGTTGTAATGTAGATGCTGTACTCGAGTGTATTCTCTTTAGAGAAGAACCACTCGAAAAGAACAGACCACTCAACTTGACGACCTTTATTACGGGGATGAAACATTCCAATGAGACGTCTATCTCGGCGACTACGACGGCACGGGCGTCGGATCTGCACTCATCTATCTAAACCGCCTCGCGATTCAAACGTATCGATGCCACTCCAGGCGCCGGCCTACATCGCCGACGTGCCGTCGAAAGAAAGTGCACTCGATGGAATGGAGTAGTGAGTAGACATTGTATGCGCATCGTTCCTCTGCTGCCTGCTTCGCAACGCTCTTTTCGATCGAGTGCACTATGCAATATAAAGTCATTCAATTTTATTCTCTAGAACAATAGCCTTGTCTCAACCATAATAATAAGATTAAATTATCTTCAAAAATATTGGTTTTACCAAAACTAGAGTAAAGGAACTAGCTATTATATTCATATAGCTATGATATAATGATGCGGATGCATATCGAAACTACCCTAATAATGCACACCTTTTATAAATAAATACAAAATACTAGGTGTACATGAAGTAAAAGCACGTAATAATTGATGAAGCATTACCCAACGCGCTTCCGTTTTTTGTTGTGCCAACCGTTCCCGAAGCAATTCGTTTTGTATTTGTTGTATATTGCACAGCGATGCTGAATATACGCCGTTGCGCCATTTCCCAGACAGGGCGCGGGAGTTGGCGTACGAAAAGTAAAAGCGGAACAAAAACAGCGTCCCACAGCGTAAACCTGTTCGCTGCGCATGGATAATACCTACATCTAATACCCACCTACACCCACACACGGAAACCATAAACCCATTTACCCTTGCGGCGCTTTCACCTCCCAGCGCTGGCGTGCTAGCTGCAGTTTCCACACACCTTGGGCCTGCCGCGATATCAGCTAAAAACGCGAAGCATATTTCTCGGTGAAATCTGCCCAAACGAGTGTTTACTCGTTTTTACGCCCATCCATCGTTCTGCGGGCGGGTTAGGCTGGCACACAGCGGTGGTGGTTAATGCAGTTCTGTTCTGCCTTCTGTTTACTCCCCGTTCATTTTATTGTCGAATAAAAGCAATTTCGTCTGATAAATTACGGTATGAAACATTGAATGTGTATGGTCGGCGCGGTGTTGTGCCGAGTTATGGATGGTTGGATAAGGGTGTGGGAAGAGGTCTGCTCTCGTGCGGTGTCAGCTTCGAAAGGGTGGTGTATGCTTGGTAGGACATCTCCAACTGTTCCGTTGTGTATCCACGGTCGACAGTGCTCTAAATACCTGTCCACCGCATGGACTGACAAGATATTGAAGATCACAATGCTCTACGGACGCCCGACATGATAACAATTCCTCTTCTTTGACAATAACCATTTTATTGCCGAAAGCCACTGGCACACTACGAAACCGCCCATTATTGCGCTGTTCCCTCCTTGCCACCCGCAATATAGCATCGCACATTAATAATATCAAACTAGGACGTGATACAAAAAGCTTTCTCGCAGACGTGGAAACGTATAAATTCACGTCTCATATTGTTCCTAACGAATAACATCCTCGCAATACTTTTGGTAGGCGTCATTGGTATTGTTTTGTTTTTAAAAGAAATGACAACGATTGTCTTGATAAACGTTACTCAACTTGTAATAATATTTCTGAGAAAAGAAATTTCGTTAATATTAATTTTATTTCTACGTGTTTGTTGATTTGTTGTTATTGTTGCCTGTGTTGTGACCTCGTTCCAGGAAGTAATTAAAAATGTATGTTTCCTATCTTGTTTGTAGACATGATCGGATGTCGGGCGGGACGCGCCTCGTCGTTCCTGCTGCCGCTGTTGTTGGTCCTGGGTTGTATCGGCGGGAACGCTCAAGCCCTGCAGTCCTCCAGCTGCACCTTCAATCCAATGTGCCAGTGTTCATCGGACCAACATGATCTACATTCAAGAATCATTACGTCAATCGTCTGCATATCAGTTCCATTCTATAAAATGCCAAGTAAGCAATAATTTTAAATTTATAAATTTTAAAGCAGTTTTAAAATTATAATTTTGTCGAGAATATTTTCGATTCAAGATGAACTTTGCTTATTACTTTCATGTTTCTGAAACTTGGTTTAGTCTGATAATTTAATCAAGCTTGCAATATTATATAGCAAGTTCGTTTGTAGCTCTCCTTTCAGAAAGTAATTTAATCCGTTTGAAATAACTATATAATCGTACGTTAATGTAATCGATATCTCCGTGCGCCACAGTATCCGCGATTCCGATAAAAATCTTATTTCAATTTCATTGCTACATTTTGTAGATCTATGCCATTTCGGTTTTTATTTTAGTCGTAAAAGAAGAAACGCAAATGTAATTTAAGCATTAAATAATCTACATTGAGCGTTCACAAAGTAGATGTAAGGTAAAACAAATGTTGAAGATCACGTAGCACAAAAACAAATCAATGGGCTAGAGTCATTAATAACACCGCTTGATAATCAATATTACCAGCTTCTATATTTAAGCATCCGGCGATTGGGACCATTAATTAAAGCGCAAACACGTCAACAAGATCAATGAGCTCACGGTTTGGCGCAATCATGTTCATGCTTCTGCTCTCTGTTTTGTTTTGTTTTGCGGGAGCTGAAAAGAGAGCAACTCTCATTTCGAGAAACGACTAAGGTTGTTATTGAAATAAATAAAAGATATTATATGCCATAAATGTTATGGTTATGACATTTCGCCGAAATTCAAACCTAGCATACAAGCCAGACGTAGGTACGGGCTCTAACAAAATTTTAATCATCTAGATATTTTAGGGAAGTAACTTAAAATAGATTTCCATTTTGGGTAGAAGTGATTTATTCCTGAAATTGTATTTTGAAAATCATTTCCATTAAATTAACGAACATTATCGCGCCTGAGTTTTTATCAAGTAATTGCAGAACACATTCGTTCGTTCGCAAAAAATTCATCACGATTTGTTTTGCTTTCCGGAACTGCGAATTGGGGCGTACGCTTCGGATGTTTGGAAGGTACAATACGCGTATGTAAATTTGTTTTTTTGCCACTTTCTACACGCAGTAGTGAAATTTGTGGCTGTTTGCTTGGAGGAAATTGTGAAAAATGCTCGGAAATACGCATCACACATGTTTGCGCGCAAACCATTAACGGATGCTTTGCCGCCCGCGCCAAACACAACGCCCGCTAAGTAATACGGCCGGCACGATCTATTTAGGAAAGTTTTTTCATTAACGAGCGCAATGCATCAAAGCGGTAATTAATGACTTTCCATTGAAATCACGCCGGCGAGCACGACGCCCGGAAAAGAAGCACCCCCGAAGAGCGATTATTATTTTAGTTACGCCCGCGTGCTTTGTGTGGCCGCGAATTTTCAATAATGACTGGTGTCGGTTTTCGCCTACACTGCATAAAACGCCACATGCGTGTTTATGTGAGTGTGCGGGAGGCGGTTTTCGAGGCTGGGCTGGTGATGAGGTCGTTTAAAAACATTAGCGCGAATGTATTTATGTAGAACATATGCCAATGTGTTGGTTGGCGAGCTGTGGTTGTCGTAACCGAATCGCACGACTCTCTTCGAATGCGAGAAGCGCATGTAGATACAAAACCGATTCAGCATGTACCGTCGTTATTGCCACCTAGGGCGGAAATATGGCAATAAATATCCGATGCGCCGCAAAATATATATTCCAACATAAGTGAAATTGAAAATGCAAAATTGAGATTCGTCGGAAATCCAACACGTACCTCGACGACGCGACGCTACCATCTTCGGAGGCGTTGGCGGGGGCGAGGACCATTGCAGAACTACATGCATATATAACAGGCTCCTTTCCAAAAATGATATTTGGCACAATGTACTGAATCTGCGCGTTTTAGTACATCTGCAAGGCGATTCTACCGAAACTAGGCTATACATTAACTATATATGCGGGAATAGAATGTGAATGTAGCGAGGAATTTTAAATTAGGCATTTACACTTTAAATATAATTGAATATTTATTCATAACGATCACAATTGCATTATTCACATATTTTTACTACAATAGCTACCATTATACTACTATGGAAATATTTATAGATTTGCTTTATTCTGTATTTTTATTGTTCTAAAATTGGCATGTTCCGCTGAAACAAAATATTTTTGACCTGAAATTGAAACAACAAAATGCTTCCTTGTTTGCACTCTTTTTTTTCCTGTTTTGGAACACCTTTGGTCCCTGTTGAATTGTCTTTTAGTTGGATAACTCCATGGTAACATGTAAATAGGCCACGACCTCGCTTGAATGCTTACCCTTTGACTTTTTTCATCCAGCCAATAGTGCCTGAAGTGTACCTTTGATATACAAGCTTCCGTATATCATTAATTCGACGTTTATTGCACTCGCATAAAATTAAGTTTACGAGTACAAGCATTAACATAAATCAGACGCAGTCATTTGCTCAATATTGAGTCTGATTTCATATTCGCAGAAGCACATTTATTTCTAAAACTGAAAACTAATTTAATTCAGAACAGTCGGGAAATTGAAGTGTTGAACGGAAATAAAATTAGTTACATGGAGTTAATTGAAATGTTTGTAGAACGCCTACATAAATTAACATTTACAAACTTATTAAAAACTAGTTTGAGGGAGTTATGGAATTGAAAATGTTAAATGTGTTGTGGTCAACATATCAAACGAAAGGTTGAAGTATTGACATTTCCGAGTAACTCACTTTTTAAGCGAAGGGCATTTTTGACAAAGACTGATTGACACCTGTTTTCTTCGGCTATTTAATGTAGGTCTTTGCATTGGATAAAAAAGATTGATCCGCGCAGCATTCAAATCTCGGTTCTCAACTGACCCATTTCTGAATTTCGACAACTTCGTGTTAAGTCGACCTTCTTTTGTCAGGATCAACCTTTAACATATTTTTCGCGCGGAATACAAAATATAAGATTGAATAAAAAATCTTTTTGGTCAGGTTTAGCTTTATAGATAGTACTTGAGGTTTAGTTCACGGATTTGAATATATATTTTAATTTTCTTTTAGAATTTTTTGTGCATGCTAGAACAATTGCACAAGCTGAATGTATAATTGGAACATTGGAGGCAAACACCACACCGCGCTGGTCCGTCAGGAAGAATGAAGTCGCAGCACTCGGGGCTTAATGTTCCAATTTTGGATAATAAAGTAGTTGAGTTCTGGCGCGTTTAGCTCCACTTAACTCTAAAAGGGCGTAACTGAATAGCCTTGTAATACTAAATATATCAGCCCGAGCGCCACCATTGCGGCCGAATTGCCAATTCGGCGGAATGTTGCGGAAGCGCGTCGAGAAAATTCTCGAGAACGTTGTAAGGAAATACTTTTATTTTGTTTTTACGCCAACATACAGAAACCCAAAACCCTCCGTGTTTCTTTGAGCCAAGGTACAAATATGCTCTGCATATATTAGTCTGACCTCAAACGAAAAAAGAAAAGAAAAAACAAATAACGGACAAAATTGGACGAAAAGAAGGAAATGTACGCTTGTTCTAACTAAGAATATTATGTGAATTTTGTCTTTAACGTGAGTGAGAAATTTGAACAATTGCGCATTGTTTGGTAGATGTTTGCAGAGCAATTTATCAATAATTGGCAACAATATTTCTGGAATGTGTTGCGGACACTTCCATGCAATCAGTACACAATGAACAGGAGGACGATTTAATTAACAGGACATGAGATGTGTGTAATAGCGACAGAGAGACGATTAGTTCCCAGTCATTACACATCAGCCGGCGTGACCCGTGAGCCAACGTCCGAGGTCTAAAGTTCGCCACATTCTCCTAGGTTAGTAGGATAATGCGGCCGCTCATCAATTTCGCCATAATGCCGTCGTTCTGACCAACCCCCTGGTTGCGCTGGTCCGGGTTGCGGCGTTTACCGCATTCTCGCGCATCGAACCAATAATCCCTGTCCGGCGGTGAACATTTCTATGCTCACCGTGCATTTTCAACACGTCGGTTGGCGAGAACAGGGTGGAAAAACATGCGCTATGCGAATAATTCCAATTCCTCGAATGAGACCTGAATTTTCAGGAAAAATGTTCTTGCACGAAATCGGGAATCAAGATGTCTGATTCCAACTTATCGCTTCACATAAATCAAGGATGACGGCAAAGGACAAACAACAACATTGTGGCGGCGTCCTATCTTGATACGAATTCTACATTTTGGGCGACAAAATGAGAAAATGTATCTTTCTTGTAATTCAACTCATTTCGCTCTTGCTAGTGTCCCCAAAGTAGGGAAATAAATGAGGTTTTCATTTCGAAACTCCCACAACACAACCTCTACTTTTTGTTGTCGTAATGGTTGTAAAAACATGAAGCATTAAGTTGTAAAAGCTGTTAGCATTAACATTAAAAATTTAAACTTCACTAAGCCATTATAGCTAACACCTACTGCGCAAACAAGAATAAAACTGCTAGACGGTAATTAGCGTTAAACGTACAGACTAACTTCATTGCAGTCAAGTCAGCGCGGTGACTCATTGAACGTTTTAATTGTCCTGTCTGTCGAATTAAGCTGAAAGCGGATGCACGAAACGCGGGCTTATCAACAAAGCCGGCCGTCCGGAAAGGTATGATCGAATTAACGCAACCAACATCGAAAATGCTCGATGCGTTTCACGCAAATGGCGTGTTTGTCGTGCTGCACGTGCTCAAAGAATTACAAGCGCATTTGCCTACAAACGATAACACTGGTAGCGATTAATTACTAATCAATTAATGCGATTTCAGCAACAACAAAGTAGATCCGGTCATCCAAATAGTGCTGACAACTGATGGCTGACCACCAGCTTGTTGTTTATCTATCAAAACCATTCAGGGTACGGGCCCGCTTGACGTGAAACAGTGAAATAACAGAAAGTAAAAACTAACTAAAACCGCGATTGTCAATTGCATTCTAGAGTACTGTTCACCACACTTACCTTTTGTGCGTCCTGTCCCTTTTGACCAGTGCTTCGTTTGACTGAAACAATACACCCGAAAAGGCACCGCACAAAGGACGAGTGTATGGAGTGCAAAAATACCCGACAAAATAGAAATAGTGCAAACTCAATTTGACCTTTTCAACCCAATAAAATGAAAGACAAAACTTGTCATTCGCAACAAAGAATCTGAACGCAATGTGGTGAATGAAAGCGAAACACTGAGGCGCACATACTTCGACTGGCAAAAAGGACTGTGTTCAGGGAGCAAATTACGCAATTTGCTGAAAAGAAAAGTTTTCCTAACGCGCTTACTTCTTTTCTTTTGCAAGTGTCTAGTATACGGTTACAGTGCAAATCTTGACCTCAAACTCTTTGTCTTAGAACGCGAACTTGTATCCTTTTTTCGGTTTTAATTTAGACCAAGGGGAAACAACGAAACACAGTAAACTAATCAATGCGTTAATTAATGAAAGTTATAATACATGTTATTTAATTGCGGTTAATTGATAATTCCAATACACGGTATTTACCGTATCAAATCAATTCTCGCAAAACAAAGCTTTAATTTAGCTGAATTTCTGCCATCCTGGATCAGTGAATTCGTATGTTATTTAATTTGAAAATGGAAACGCGCCATGCGTGAAATTAATAATAGACCTTTTGAGCGGAAATGCTTTTAAGCTTTCGGGTAATTGTTTTTATGAAGCGTGCTCCTTTTTATATGCATACAGAGGCGAATGGCAATTAAACAATTTTTTATATGGAAGAGTCGATTCTAAGCGTGCCAGATATTTTTGAACAGTTATACAGAGATTTTTTCCCATCACACTGCCAACTTTTTATTTCTGCCGCTACACCTACACGAACAATGTGTTTGAGTGCACGGGTGTGTGTTAGGGACGTGCGGAATAGGATTTTCCAGGATGGTGCACCTGGTTTTTGAAACTACGTCCACTGGCTGGTCGTCAATCATGCTTCTGGACTATTAAATGCTCGACGTAGAAGTTCCTTCGATAAATCAAACGAGTTCGTAATAAGCTCAAAATTCTATTCGTGCTTCTTTTGTGTCTGCTATCTATCCTTTGCATGCTGTTCCTTCTAAATTTACATCACCACATCGGAACAATAAAACACGCTGGTAATTCTCAGAGTAACTCATGTACATGTTTATTGTTTTTGTTTTTAATACGCGACAAAAATCATAAATTTGTGGTTAAAGCTGACGCATCCTAGGCATGACCAGCGTTTATTTGAAATTCATGAGCGCACACAATGCAAAATAGAAGGACATTATACGCTCCGCACATTATCATGGTTTTATTTTTGTGAAATTTAGCATAAAAATCACATTTAATCCCTCATATCTTTTTTAATTCGGTATGAATATTAAATATGCCACGCTCGAAACAAATTCAAAAATAAAAAATGGGATGAATGACTATAGGTGTATTAATGCGAAAAGCAGCAATATTCGGATTCACACTCGCTACAACGAGTAACGAATTTTCTTTTTCGCTCTTTTCGGCGAGCATTTTCCTCGCCAGTGCATGTGAATTCATTCTGATTTTCGGTCTTTATATAAAAATTAAACTACCCTTCGCCGTGCATTACTTTTGCTTCAGTTTCCTTTGGGCCATGCGTTCTGCAATACACAGACGGTTACTTTTCTGTTCGTATTTTTTCGCCAACTTCATAATGGGAACGTGGGCGCCAGCCGTACACTAAATTGAAATTTGGTACATGAATAAAATTTTAAACGCGAAATTTTCCAGTCGACGCCGCTGAATGCGAGAATAATGTCGGTTGATTTATTTTTGTGCGGGCGAAACCTTAGCGAATCGCGCGACTGTGCAACTGAGAAGAGGCCTAATAAAAGGGGTGAAATATATAAAATTTTTCATCCGGCATATGACAATGTTCCATTAGTGCGACGAGAATCGCTTCGCATGCAAAGTGCAAATAAAAGTGTACCAATTTATCAGCGGCTGGCGTTAGTATTGTGTGCGATGGCGCTACCAACTAGCAACCAGCAACCATCTAACAACCTAAGCCGCGCAAACGGCAACACTTATAAATATTGCAGAACGCGCACTGCTTGCCACCGTCGACGCTAATTACGCGCTTAATCTACTGCGTATTTATTTCTAAATTCGTTAGGAACGCGCAAAGTTGTTGGTTTTATGTAGATGAAAATTGTTTCAAAAACACGTCGCGTCTATTTGTATTTTTACCAAAAAAAAATGACGTAGTAAAAATTTTGTTAAGAGTGTGGGAGGTAATAATTTACCGCACGGAATTCAATGATCAATCCTCTTAATAAACCAGCCAAAACTAGTCAAAAATAAATTTGCCCTTTCAAGATTATAAACTGATTAACAAATTACCAAAATAATTTTAGTGCATTTAGGTGCATGCATATTAATTAAACGGTGATTTTTGTTTCAGATTTGCCCGAGGGCAGCATCAGTCAACTAGAAGTCGTTGGCTCAAAGACGGCCGCCGTGGAGGCCGAGAGTTTGGCGGGCAGCCAAGTGCATTCGCTGACGCTGTCCAACAATCGTTTGCAACACGTGGCCGAAAGAGCCTTCAGGTAATTCAATATTGCTTCGAGGTCGCCGATCGACCCGTAATACATACCAAACATCCACCAAACACCCATGCCAAAAACCGCAGGTTCCGACCTGATTCATTAAATTTGTTATCATATTACACTCACCTCTAGTTTACACGATAATTCCCAAACAATGTCAAACAGATGTCCCCTGCATAATACATGAATGTATTCATCATATCATTTATATTCTCTTTTAAAGGTAGGTAAAGTTTTAATGCCTTTGTAGTCAAACAAATTATAGCGTCCGCATTAAAACATTTTGTGCCTTTATTAAGCGAAAGATTTGGCCTGATATAAATTCCGAACAATGTTATAGGCACTCCAGCATGGAGTAACACGATGTAAGGTTATTAAAGCATCCTTTGTTATAGTTTTAATGTATTACTAAAATCTACATTAACTAAAATTTCCAGTCACATATTCATCCTGTCCCCGGCAAGCGCACTCGTGCCACTGCCGACCCGCGTGCATTTACATTCACATCTTGTTACATATGTTACGTTCTAACATAAACCACGGATATTAACGTAAAGGACAAAAGCCATTTGGGAGCCATTGAGTATTTAATTAATTAATCCATGTATGTGTGTACGATAATCTGATTTAAAACCCATTATTCAATTATCATTATTGCGGCGCACAATGTGACATCAGTACGGGCGGCGTCTGAAAATATTATTAGAGATGACTTCCCGGAAGGGCCCTCAGAACTATTTTAGTTATGACTTGTGGATGATATACTTACATACGAGTGGCGAATTTCAAATGGATGCAATGGACATGTTAATGTAATATCAAATAGATACTGACATATCTGTGTGTTCTGAAGTGTTGTTTGCGATTGAAAACATTGCAAAGTTTGTTTGCGCAGCACTTACGTAAACTTGTTTGTTTCAGCTCCATGACGAAAACGCTAACTTCATTAGACTTGAGCTACAATCAACTCGATGGTTTGCCCTTTCTTGCGCTGAAGGAAGTGAGAAACATTCAATGGCTGAACCTGCACGGGTAATTAAATTATCTGATTTACATTCCTAACATTCATTCTTTAATTAATTGTCATAACGGTAGAAAATTATTGTTTTATTTGTTCGAATTATAATTTCGTTTCTTTAGTCCTCCGAGTACCTATTTATTTATTTATTGTGTTATTCGTTTAATTATTGCAGAGTGTAGCTAACATGAGTAATTAATGAGCTCACGTTCTGTTGAAAATTCCTAATCTCAAGGTGCGGTGTTCGAGTATGTTTCAATCTATTTTTCAGTTTTGTCGAAAGTGGCACCAGCGAACAAATGAGCTTGCATAAGGAAGGCGGAACACGCTCCAAAAGTTAACTGGATGTCGGTTTAATATGAATTCGTAATGGTTATCGATTCCGTTCGTTGTTACGTTATGAATAATTAATCACCAAAATGAATACCTTTACTTTATACGATGGTAGGGCTTTGGCCATTATCCGGCACACGCGTTTGTTTATTAATTTGGCCCCAAAAAGTACAGGAACAGGCGTCGGTAGCACAGCGCAATCATTCGCGACACTGCAGCCCTGCAGCCCTCGTTTGGGTTTTAGGAGCAACACGCGGTTTGCATACAAAAGTATGATTATGTCCCTTTTTATTAGCGTTATTAAAGTGGAAAAACCACCACTGAATGAATAACTAATTGATGATAAAGCGCTGAGCTTTTGTTTTTAATCCTATTTCAAAAATGTATTACATTTTGGTATTGATTTTTGGTTGAGCATTGAAAATACAATTTGATTCTGCAATATCTTATATTCCTTAATTTACATAACCCCTTTTATAGTCGTAATATCATTTTCCCGGTTCAGTAATGAACTCTTGTGTTTCAGGAACCAAATCCAATCGATTGTGGGCGACTGGTCTCATATGAAGACAACGCTCTCCAATCTTTTCCTCGGAGAGAATGACATCAGCGAATTGCCACCCGAAGCCGGCAACGGCGGCGGTGGAGGCGAGCACCTATCGAAATCGCATCACGGCCTCCGTCAATTCAAGTCGCTCATTTGGCTGAACGTCGACGGCAATCGAATATCGAAGGTCCACAAGCATTCGCTGCCCGCCAGCCTGCAGACCGTCAGTCTGTCGCATAATCTGATCGAAAACTTCCCGGTTGAGATCATTGCCGGCTCGTCGCACTTGCAGTGGCTCTATTTGCGCGGCAATCACATAAAAACGCTACCCGATCACACCTTTGTACGAAAACTGTGGTTGGAGAAAATTGATTTGGGCGAGAACTACTTGAAAAGCCTGCCAAAACTGCCGTTCAACAACTCGATTTACATACGAGACTTGAATTTGGCTTTCAATGATATTAAAACGATCGGCAGCGAAAGTTTCGCCGGATTACAATGCGGACGGATAATCTTTTCGCACAACCAGCTCGAGGGCGCCGAACGCGACGCATTCGCTGGCATCGAGAGCTCATTAGAATACTTAGATCTCGACCACAATAACTTCGTACATGTACCGCACGCGCTAAGCCATTTAAGGACTTTAAAATACTTGTATTTATCCTCTAATTCCCTTGCCGAAATCCCCGAAACGGCATTCGAGGGTTTCTGCGACAGCCTGCGAGCCGTCAGTTTTAGTGGCAATCATTTAACCCGTGTGCCGATGGACGCGCTGCAGAACTGCTCGAAAATATCGCACTTCAACATCGCCTACAACGAAATTTACGAGATTAACGAGTATGATTTTACAAACTGGGGCCAAAACATTCGCAGCCTAATACTTGGCAACAATCACATCACCAGTCTGAAGCCGCAAATATTTGCGGAACTCAATCAATTAAAAGAACTCAGCTTGAGTTTCAATCCGCTGAGGCACATTGATGTAGAAGCCTTCTACGGGCTAGAAAATCTCGAAAGTTTGGAGATGTCGTTTGGCATAGATATAGATGAATTACCTTATGAAATATTCAGACCACTTAGCAATCTGCAGTGGCTCTCGATTGACAACAATAACTTCTACTCCCTGCCGGAGGACGCCTTCGATTATCTGCCCGAACTCAAATACATCAATCTTGAGTCGAATAAGCTCAATACGATTCCTGAAAAGTTGTTCAAGTCTAAGATACATTCTAACTTGAAGGACGCGCGTTTTTCCAACAACGAAATTTCCACGCTTCATTCGAATACGTTCAACGCACTTACGAGCTTGGAGACTATCTTGCTGGCGACGAATCGCATTAAGGGCATTCAGAAGAATTGCTTTAACGACTTGCCCAATTTGCAAAAATTGATTCTTGCAGATAACCTGATTTCACGAATTAGCACTCACGCGTTCGCGAATTTGCCAAATTTGCATAAACTCGAATTAGAGAACAATCTTCTCTCAGCGTTTTCGTTTAAGATGTTCGCAAACATTTCGACGCCGCTGCATTTGAATCTGAGTCGAAATCAGATATCTACGTGCGAGGCTGATAACATGATCCTGAACATCGAAATATTGGATTTGAAGTATAACAACTTTGTCGCGATCCCAAAGTGCTTAGAAAACGTGTCGCTGTTGCGAAAGCTGTATATTGACTACAACATGATATCTGTGCTCGAACAGAACACGTTCATGCACTTAACGTCGCTGGAAGAACTGGGGCTACAGCAGAACAACATCCTCAACGTCAATCGGCGAGCCTTTTTTGGCTTGCAAAACTTACAAACGCTTGATATGTCGAAGAACCTAATCACCCAACTGCACATTAATCAATTCTCTAACATGCCGAAACTACGCATACTAAATTTGAGCAGCAACAACATAAATTACCTCCCAAAGGACTTATTCAGCAATACTATCTTAGAAATGCTAGATTTGAGTTTCAACTCGTTTGCCGTCATACCTAGTTTGAGTCTCTCCGAAGTTGGCACAACTCTACGCTACCTTTCTATGCGCTCGAATAACATCGAGCACATTGACAGCACTACCTTTCCGGCCATGCCCTACCTACAGTTCCTTGATCTTAGTACGAACAAACTAACCATTCTTCCTGATAACGTCTTCACTAGTCTTGGTATGTTGCAAAAGCTGGATTTGAGTGCAAATCAAATTCGGGCCAACTTTAAGGAATTGTTTCACTACGCGCAAAGTCTGAAAGAACTTAATCTTGCTAGCTCCGGAATCATTGCGACGCCTAGTCTCCCACTTCCGAACCTACTTTACCTCAATCTGTCACGCAACAACATCGAGATCATCAACAGGAACACAGTGCAAGACTTGGTAAAGCTGAAACATCTCGACCTCAGTAACAACCATGTCACGCAGATTCCGGCACATCTCTGGATGCACCTGCCGTTGCTCAAAACTTTGGATCTATCCAACAACCCCATTAAGGTAGGTACATGCGCGACCGTGTTCAGGAACTTTTCCGAACGCATTACTTTATTCAGTTTGCCATCGCCGTTGGCGGAAGCATCCTGTTAAATCTTGCAAGTGAACTTTCCTTTATTTATTTTTTACGTGGGTTTATGAGCCGGTTATAAATTTACAAGCGGTCCTCGGCAATTCTCGATCACGATAAAGTGCGAATTGATGTTTTTCCGGCTTTATTTTATGAGCACCTTTTTATGTAAAGTTTTATATACTCATACCACGCACACTTAACATTAGAAAAATGATCTGTTTGGTTTCAGTCATTTACAAACATGACGTGGTTGACCGATACAAACTTGTTATTTCTAAAGTTTTAGTTGAAATGTATAGCTTTGTATGCTATACATTTAGTGCCAGGCAGTATAAAGTATTAATAACACTTTTAAAATTTCAGGAATTAATAGCGGATCATTTTCAAGGGTTGAAAAACTTGCAAAACTTGAACATCCAAGGATTGAAGAAGTTGCAGAAATTCGAGGCAAAGTCGCTGACACAAATAAAGTTGCTGCACACATTAGCGTTGCAGACGTGGCCGAAAATAGAAAATTTCAAGACGCAGCTGTGCTCGCTCCTAGCAAACTTGAATCAATTGCGGATATTAAAATTGCATATCAACGATCCAGTCTTGGACGATCAACTTTTATGCATTTCGAATAAGAAAATAAGACAGCTTGAGATAACAGGCAAGATGCTCAAAAGCGTCGACAGAGAAGCTTTTCAGAAATTCTCAAAAAATCCAGATTTAGTGCTTCGAATTACGGGGACTGACATCGAGGAGTTGCCTCCAGGATTATTTTCAAATATGTACAAAACCTCCTACCTGAACATAGACCTCCGAAACAATATGCTTTCGTTTCTTAGTCCTGAAATTTTCTATGGCAATGTAACCACGTGGAAAAACGTAGGAACGACTTTAATTTCCGGTAAGTAATATTTAAAACATTTTTGTTAACTGATGTATGTTAGGAAGATTATTAATTTAGTTAAATGACCTGTTTGCAGGAGGTTTAACTATTTCGGAAAACCCATTCAGATGCGGTTGCCACTTGGCATGGCTGGGCCATTGGCTGAGAAGATGGATGCGCGAGAGTCTGCAATCACATAACGCCCCAGCCGAAACGTCGATGCGGCTGAACGATCTCGTCAGAGAAGCCACTTGCACTGATTCTACGACGGGTGTTAAGCTGCCCATCGTGCAGCTGCCACCCGAAGACATGAGCTGCCATGCCAGTGCATTGAGCACTGCGCCAAATTCAAACAAAACATCTGTGATCTTCTATTTAATGTGTTTTATAATATTTAATTTTATCAATCGTTAATTGCCATTTTATTCAATTTTACTTAATAATAAACAAATCTTCCTATCGTGCGTAGATCACTATATATAGTTTCATCACCGTAGGTCAATTCATTTGAAAAGAACGCCATTAGTAAGAGAAACTGTACAGTATTGAAAATCCCATTTTGTTACGAAATATTTGTATAAAATAATAAGAGAGAAAAAAAACGAAAATAAATAATGGATATCTTGTAAATATATAAATTAATATAAAATGTAAATAATAATAAAATGATACATATCATGACCGTTAGAGTTAGAGTAATTTCTATATTTGAATTGCTCAATGAGTAACATGAAAAGATGTGAGTCAATCAAATGTGCACACAGATTATTTCTGATTAATCATAGGTAAATGAATTTTTTGTATATTGAAATATAATGCTGTTAAAACCAGTTTTTAATATAAGTAAACAGTCGTTTTTGTTTTTGACCAATTAGATTTTTTTGGAACTTATTAATTTTTGAAAATATTAACTGAATTTAATAAATTTTAATGATATTTCTACCACGCTGTAATTGTGATTTTGTTTTCTTCTTGTTTTCAGCAGGCTTCTCAATCTATTGAATCCGGCGCTCTGCTCGACCGCCTACTGCTTCGATTGCATCAACTATTGCTTCTGGTCCGTCCTGACGACTACGTGTCATCCCCGGATGCTCAAGCAACTTAACAATTTTCTAGGCTCCATGGTAACCTCTATTATGCTATACTAGTGTGCTAGTTATGCTGAATTTTCAAGTGCTACCCAGGTTTAGCTTAGATATATGAATCTATGTTTGTGTTTGTAAGTAAACAATTTTTTTGTTGAGCGCATCGCAATAGTAAAACCGCGTGACCGCGTGCAGTCGTACGCAGTTCCATTCCGGTAACCGAATGAGACGCGTGGGTTTTGTTTCTGCAGATCATAAATCGATATAAAATCGATTTATATTCAATACACAATCGACGACTAATATTTACTAGAATTTACTGGAAATTTGCCAGCGAATGTGCGCGTTGTCGTCCGCCGTCGGTGATAATTTTTTGCGCGTGAATTAATAGTGCACTCATGTTGGTCTGCATGAGCATGGCGTGCGTGTCCGTCGGTTATGATCCAGAAAAATAACATGGATTTGTATTTAAGACGAATAAATACACAACGTATGTATGTGCCCGGAGAAGAAGTTTGCGAATTGAAGGATCCTGCAGTTTGTAATATCCCAGTAATTATGCAGTTGCGAAATTATAGCAAGCCTTTCATGGGTTTTAAAAGTGGCCGATGTTTTTCTTTTAAAAAATGTATGTATTTGTCAATGTTGTCAATAAAACAAAATAATAGTATTATAATCATATTCCTTTTTGGTATCATCTTTGCCGTTCTCAGCGTTTTACACATTCAATATAGATATATTTTATGCCTTTAGAGTGAATACAGTAGGTGTAATGTTGTTGTTTTAAAAGTCGAACAAAAGAGAACTATATATAGAAGAAACAAATAACAACGATAAAAGCGCTCGGTGGTCGAGTGGAGACGTGCACCTGCTGGCATGCTAGTAGGCGCGGATCGAATCTCGGGTATAGAAGGCATTTTTCTCAAATATAAAAATATCAGGTGTAATTTGGGTTGCATATATGAATTGCAACGAAATATAAGAGAAATTGAAATACAAGTGAAGGCAATAAGGGAAGTAAGAAAGTAAATGGAGAAACGAGAACAAGGAAAAGGAGAATAAGAACTAGAAGAGCAGAGAGGAGAGAAGAAAGGAAGAGAACAGAGTAGAGAAGAGGAGGAGATAGAAGAAAGGGAACAGGGGAGGATCAGATTTTTAAATTTTTTGGCACGTGTCGTTATAAGACAGTCTACGGTCGATCGCCCACTGCTTCGATGCGTCCATTGCTCCCGGCCCATCCTACAGCTACGATGTCTCTGCGCTTCATCCCCGAAATTATCAGGCATATCAACAATTTTTATGGTGGGGGATCACCCCCAGAGAGAGGGAACTCCTTATAAGGACAATCCTTATGAGGCCTTGTTTAAATATTTCTAAGTTTTAAGTCGCCTCAGGGGAGGTGACACTCAAAAATATTCTTACAAGTTCTGACCTGTAGCTGAAATGAAAGAAGGAGTACACAAATCATACAGGTTAGGTTAACAATTTGTATAGAGGGGATCATCCCCCTGAGAGAGGGAACTGTAATCATAGAAGGGGTATACACAAATCAAAGAAGTCAATATATCTTACTGTTTCTTTATTAACAATAGAATACAAGTTAATATTTTACAAGTCAACCAAATACGTGCCGCCATGTTGAAACATGACTTACGATCTGCATAGCCACGCACATGTAATTAACAAATAGTTCATTTTCTACGTTATTGAAAATGAAAACAAATATACAGAGTGTTACCAAAGGAAAATTTAAAGTGCAAACAATAAACACTATAAATCTTGCTCGTTTTCACTAGACAATCAAGGTAACTAATATACAGGCTGTTACAAAAAGAAAACAACGTCATTTTAGAATATACGTCAACGACAAAGTTTTAAACACTACAAATATAGCTATTTTTTCGTGACATAACGGAAAATTAATATACAGGGTGTTAACAAAAGAAAATCTACAATGTAAAAAGGAAAATGGCTTCAAAGCAATAAAGATTGGCAACTTTTTTGCTGAACAAGAAAAATTTGCATACAGGGTGTTGTCAAAAGAAAATCTTCGATTTATAAAGAAAATCACCACAAAACAATAAAGATTGCTCATTTTTCGCTGAGCATAAAGGAAAATTTATTTACAGGGTGATGCAAAAAAAGAAAACAAAAATTCAAGTTCCATTACCTGTTTCCACCTGGATATCCAGGAGAGGTGATACTTGCGGGCATAATAAATAATACAATTATTATTAATTAAAATTACTACTTTTAAAGAAATACTAAATCATGATCTTCTAAACCCAGACACTAGCAAACACGTGAAGCCGATTACAAACAGAAATAAGATACAAAAGCAATAATCAGGCACGATAAACGGTACCTAACGGAAGCGAAAGGGTAGCCGGCGGATCACGACAATATTGCACTACTTGCATTACATTCTGGATTAAATGCGACCATTTTCAAAGCTTCTACTAATTTGACTGATCGTGTTTCCTTATCGGGTGATGACTCCACATTTGACTGTTTAATTAGTCGAATAATAACAGAATATAATATTTATGTTACGCATTTACTTACGTTTTCGTAGGTAGAATACTCCACAAAAGACACAAATGGTGGTGGTAATTCAAATTATTAATTAAATGAATACATAAAACTAAACCACTAGGAATTCTTAACCGACGGGAGATATTCGCCGGCCGACGGCAAACACGTGTGTATCTTGTAAAACCACGCAATTCTGGGTTCCACGCGCGATATCTCAATAACTATACACCGCACTCGTCGGGCACTTCTAAATCTTACCTTTGTTGACCGATTTTAATTCAACTACTGACTCAAAATCACAAGAAACGCGATTAGTCGCCACGAAAACCGCCGATCAAGTGAACGCGTCTTTACCACGCGGCAGCACACGATCGACTAAGTAAAAAATAGAACATACGCTGAGCGAGCCGGACGCGCCGCAACGCGATAACAAAAAGTTGTTTATGCATAAACACCAATAAAGATCAAGAGTGGTAACTATAAACAATTCATGTTGTGGATGTAGTCCAATGCAATGAAAAGATTGTATATTGTGAACGTACTCTCTTATTGGATTCTCATAAAAGTTATTAAGGTTAAGAAGAGTAAAAAGTTAAGAAGATGATAACGAAATTTAATACTTACTATCTTATGAAAAAATGGTCCTTCTACGATGTCGGACTCAGGTGCAAAATCCCTAAAACAAGTAAAAATTAGTCCATCGAAGCATAAATATGCAATTTTAAGGGTCACTTTGTAAGACATTTATATCTTCTCATTGTATCGAAATATGTTTTTAGCGATATCTTCTAAACTAATAGAGATAGAGAGGATCGAATGGCATATCCTTAACCTACGAAAATTTCTCTTTAAGATACACTAGTTAAATTCGAGCTACAGTCAATTTTAAAAAATAGGGTATAAGAAAAAATCATGCAAAGAGGGGGGTCTTCTCATTGTATCGAAATATGTTTTTAGCGATATCTTCTAAACTAATAGAGATAGAGAGGATCGAATGGCATATCCTTAACCTACGAAAATTTCTCTTTAAGATACACTAGTTAAATTCGAGCTACAGTCAATTTTAAAAAATAGGGTATAAGAAAAAATCATGCAAAGAGGGGGGTCTTCTCATTGTATCGAAATATGTTTTTAGCGATATCTTCTAAACTAATAGAGATAGAGAGGATCGAATGGCATATCCTTAACCTACGAAAATTTCTCTTTAAGATACACTAGTTAAATTCGAGCTACAGTCAATTTTAAAAATAGGGTATAAGAAAAAATCATGCAAAGAGGGGGGTCTTCTCATTGTATCGAAATATGTTTTTAGCGATATCTTCTAAACTAATAGAGATAAAGAGGATCGAATGGCATATCCTTAACCTACGAAAATTTCTCTTTAAGATAGACTAGTTTAATTAGAGCTACAGTCAATTTTAAAAAATAGGGTTTAAAAAAATTATGCAAAGAGGGGGGTCTTCTCATTGTATCGAAATATGTTTTTAGCGATATCTTCTAAACTAATAGAGATAAAGAGGATCGAATGGCATATCCTTAACCTACGAAAATTTCTCTTTAAGATAGACTAGTTTAATTAGAGCTACAGTCAATTTTAAAAAATAGGGTTTAAAAAAAATTATGCAAAGAGGGGGGTCTTCTCATTGTATCGAAATATGTTTTTAGCGATATCTTCTAAACTAATAGAGATAAAGAGGATCGAATGGCATATCCTTAACCTACGAAAATTTCTCTTTAAGATAGACTAGTTTAATTAGAGCTACAGTCAATTTTAAAAAATAGGGTTTAAAAAAAATTATGCAAAGAGGGGGGTCTTCTCATTGTATCGAAATATGTTTTTAGCGATATCTTCTAAACTAATAGAGATAAAGAGGATCGAATGGCATATCCTTAACCTACGAAAATTTCTCTTTAAGATAGACTAGTTTAATTAGAGCTACAGTCAATTTTAAAAATAGGGTTTTAAGAAAAATTATGCAAAGAGGGGGGTCTTCTCATTGTATCGAAATATGTTTTTAGCGATATCTTCTAAACTAATAGAGATAAAGAGGATCGAATGGCATATCCTTAACCTACGAAAATTTCTCTTTAAGATAGACTAAATTAATTAGAGCTACAGTCAATTTTAAAAATAGGGTTTAAAAAAAAATTATGCAAAGAGAGGGGGTCTTCTCATTGTATCGAAATATGTTTTTAGCGATATCTTCTAAACTAATAGAGATAAAGAGGATCGAATGGCATATCCTTAACCTACGA